ATTTGTCCCCCACGCAATGCAAACCCTGTGGCCGGGAAGGATAGGAAACAGAAGCAACGGAGAAGAGAGGTCAGAATCTGCTTGCAATTCCTTTTCTATTTTGTCCCTGAAAACGGACAAAATATTTACTCGATTAGATCAGGCACGCCGCCTCTAGCAACTGGGCCTGAGCCTGTGCCCAAAAATAGCCCCTTAGCTAATCCTTTCGCCGCTATAAATAGGCCAAAGCAGATAGTCATTATTATTATTATTACCACCATCATTTTGTTTATGACTGGACAGCATCGAAAGGGCTTATCCTCAACATGCCACAAATGCTGACCTTGCACCCCAGGAAGGATGAGAAGCGGAGAGATGCAACTATCCTGGGAAGTAGGAGAAACTCTCGACTCCTTCCAAGAGGAAGGGATCCCACAATGATTTGGAAGCCAGTACCAGAAAACGGTAGCCTTGCTCCTTGGTCCTTCCCTGATACTCATCCACCAGTCCTTGGTGTTGCCTTGCAGCACAATTGGGCTTTTGCAGGTTCCCTGCCTCTGGCTTCCCTTTAGATGCAAAAGTCCCTCTCTGGCTCGAGTCTCTTACAAAAACACACTCACGCTTTCATACATGCAATTTTTGCTTTTGCAGGTCAAGCCACCATTACGGACGCTATGTTCTGCTATACAGAGGCAGGCAGAAGGTGGAAAATCCTAAAGGCAAACTCTGTGTGTGTGCATGCAGGAAGACCAACTTCATCTCTTTTGCAGGCCTTGGAGAGGGAGGTAAAAATAAAAATCATACTTGGACTACCATGCCCATAATCCTCAATGCTGGCCGTGGACTGGGGGAACTGTCACCCAAAAATATATTCCATGCGATGGGATTTTTGGGATTTGTAGTTTGGAGAAGCCAGCATGGCATAGTGGTTTGAGCGTTAGACTAGGACTCTGGAGACCAGGGTTCAAATTCCGACCCGGCCATGCAAACCTACTCAGGGACCTTGGGCAAGTCACACATTCTCAGCCTCAGAGGATGGCGACGGCAAACCCCCTCTGCAGAAACCTGCCAAGAAAACCCCATGATAGGGTCGCCATAATTCGGAAACGACTTGAAGGCACGCAACGACAAAGTTTGAGACCAACCAAGCTCTTTGACAGAGAAAGCTAAAAATCTCATAAAATGACAAATCCCAGAATTCCATAGCATGGAGCCATGGCAGCTAAAGCCGTGCCAAACTGCATTATTTCTACAGTGCGGATGCAGCCTTAGTGCAAAACAAACCACTACACCACACCGGCTCCTTCAAATGATGCATGTCCACTGTCTCCAATGTGACCCTTTATAAAGAAAGGAAAGCTGGCTTTTTTGCAAGTGTCTCCCCTAAGGAACACTTCTCCAAGATCTTTGACCCAGCAAGGTCTTTCCAGCTCCTTTTCTTTTACTGGAACTGGCTCTGAGATGGTTTCTCTGTAAAGCATGTGCGGCACCGCAGATTTGGGGTCCCCCTTCGAGAGAGGGAAGCGAAGAGAGAACTGCAGCTTTGTGACACTACTTTTAAAAATAAGTATTATTTTCTTCCTGGCAAGTAAGCTTTTGGAGCTAAGAAAAAGGTTTTTTTTCTTTCCTCCCTAAGCTTACTCAGTGGCTTGCATTGTCTGAGGACTCTGGCCTGCGGACACACAGGAAACTTCATTGTTTCTTAAGGCTGCGATTTAAAGAAACACAGGATGCCCAAAACCTCAGCGAACAATAGCAGACACCCAGCAGAAGAAAGCCCAGGACAATGCAGCATTGCTCTTTCTGGGCTGGGGATCCTTTTTTCAAAGGGAGACAACTGGACCTCTTATAAAACTATAGACTCTTGTTCTCATGGTGCAGAAGCAACGCAAGACCAACTGCACCCCATTTACACAAGGAGCCAGCATGGCATAGTGGTTTGAACATGGGGCCATGACTTGGGGGGGAGGCAGGGTTCAAATCCCTGCTTAACCATGACCATGGGCAAGTCACACACTCTCAGCCTCAGAGACCTCCATGATAGGTTCACCGTAGTCAGAAATGACTTGAAGACGCACAACGACAACAACACAGGGCCACCCCCTCCAGGTAATAGTGCACGACTTTTGGTTGTTTCGATCTCCACTGTGACCGTCCTGCAAAACTGTGCCTAAATCTCTACTGGTTTTAATAATCTATAAGCCTTTGGAGAAGGAGTGTAGTGTAAGTGCAGTTGTGGTTTGAGTGTGGGACTAGGAGCCCTGCTTTCGAGTCATTTCTGACTTACGGCGACCCTAAGGCAAGCCTATCATGAGGTTTTCTTGGCAAGATTTGTTCAGAGGAGGTTTGCCATTGCCTTTCTTTGAGGCTGAGAGAATATGACCTACCTGTCCAAGGTCACCCACTGGGTTTCCACGGCTGAATGGAGATTCCAACCAGGTTTCCAGAGCCCGAGTCCAATGCTCAAACCACTAAGTCACACTGGTGCTGGACTCCTGGGTTGATCTGAAGGACTCCAGGAGGGAGTTGAGTGGGTTGATTCCCATTCAGCCACGGAAACCCACTTTGAGCAAGTCACACTCTCTCAGCCTCAGAGGAACCCTGGTCTCCAGAGTCGTACTCCAGCACTCAAGCCACTACACCACGCTGGCTCTCATTATGCCAGCATAACTATGCCAGCAGATGGAAGGCTTTGGGCGTAGCGGTTGCGATGGAGGAAGGAAGGTGTTGGAGAAACAGGCTACTCAGACCCAACAGGTTTGCTTTGCCTTGCCATGCCATGCCATGCCATGCTACTTGGAAAAAAGGGGCAACCACCAGCGTAGCACATCAACAAGACTCCAGCCACAGTAATCCACCAAAGACTGGCGTCAGAAAACGGAGACGTCGAGTAGGAACTCTCAGAGCGCATTGCAGCTTCCCCATTCAGGATTGCCAACAGTCGGTGGTGGCATTTTGCTCGGGCCCATATGTCAGATGAGAAGACCACTTCCCCCTTCTTCGTTCTCTTCTCCTTGGTGACTCATTTCCCTTTCCTGGCAGCAAAGGCGGCCAAACGGCAAGGAAAGGTCTCTTGAGTTCATGGCAAGGATGCTCACTCCCTCCTGCTACCATGGAGCAACCAGAAGGGAGACGGAGACGTCTGACCTTTCCTTCTCTTGGCTTTGGAGGTCCCATTTCTTAAAAGCTATCTGCAAGAAAAAAACCCCAAATCCTTGCGATTGCAGATCTTTTCCCCTCCCACCCACTTTTGCACAGAGATTTTTTTCAGTTTAAGGAACTGAAGCAGACTCAAATGTGTTGCAATTAACCCCCTGACCCTCCATGACTCCCTTGCCTTATTCTCGTCTCTCTGGAGGAGAGAAATTGCACAGATCTTTAACTTGGCAAGGGCCTGCTCTCTGCCAACTCGCTGCAAGGAGATGGGAATAAATAATGTCCACCCGGCCCGGCTCACGGGTCTCTCCGGATCCACAAAATGGCCTTCTGTGCTTTTTGGACAGGGCGATTCTTCTTATCTGTCCGCTCTGGGGTCGCGGTGTTGGTGCATCTTGTGTCACAGAATAGCCTTTCTTTCCAGACTGATGGGCGAAAGGAATAAAGGCCAACCTGGCTCAGGATTTGAATCTTGGGAAAACCACTGCCATTTTAAAAGGAGAGCTTTTCAGCCCTCAGAGCTGCAGAAAAAAATATCTCTAATGCCTGACAATCCCATATAACAGCCGCTGACATTTTGCTATCTCAGGATAGTTGCAGAATTATTTTGAGCAACTGTGAGATCCAGTGCAGTTCTGTGTTTTGAACACTGGCATAGAACATGAAAAGATCAGAGTTCAAATCCTCACTTGACCAAGGAAAGCCACAGGGTGACTTCCGACAATTGCAGTCTCTCAGAGGAAGGCCATGGCAAACTTCATCAGAATAAATCTTGCCAGGAGAGCCCTAGGATAGGGTCACCATTGACTTCAAGGCACATCACAGCAACAATTGCATGTCTTCAAAGGTCTGGGGCTTAGAAAGCAGAGGTTGGCTTAACTGCCATGATCTGCAAAAAGTGGAAGCAGCCAAATGGTACACAGGATCTTTCCCATTGGCATTGAACTTAAATCGCCCAAGTACTACGTACCTAGGGGCTAAACCATTTTAGTCAAAACCAATTTTGGAGCCTTTAAACAGAGACAGACCGATCGCACCCGCAGCTTACAGAAAGGAGAAAGAAAAGAAATATAATAGCATCTTCAAGACTATTTGGTTTTTATTTTTGCACGAACTTTCGTGGGTATAAACCCACTTCTTCAGATGTAGTATTGCAGATGTAGATGTAGTATGTGTAGATGTACCGTGTGGTATTAAGGCCTCAGATATAAAGCATGTTTATAGAGGATATTATAAAGCATACCGTGGGTCCTTGATACCTGCTGGGGCTTGGTACCAGGACACTCCCGTGGATACCAAAATCCATTGATGTTCAAGTCCCTTTAAATACAATGGCATAGTAAAATGGTATCCCTTATATAAAACGGCATAATCAAGGTCTGCGTTTTGAAATTTGTATATTTTTAAAATATTTTTGAACCGTGGATGTTTGAATCCGTGGATATGGAGGGCTGACTGTATTTATACTTCAGGCCTTAATACCACACTGCACTGCATCTGAAGAAGTGGGTTTATATCCACAAAAACTTGTGCAAAAATAAGAGCCGGTTAGTTTTAAAGGTGCTACCAGATTCCTTTTCCCACTCCCTTCCACCTTTTTATGTTGCAAGAGACTAACACGGCTCCTTTTCTTGAAAGCATCCAGATTGCGGTTGTCCCTGTTACCCAAACCCTTTTTCCTAAGATAACACAGGATGCTGCGGAAAGATTTCCAGCTCTTCCAAGCCTCAAGTATGTACTGGGTCTGGAATAAGGCATGCGAGAGCAAGCGTGTTTATGGGAAAAGAAACATTTCTTCAAATCCTCTGTTTATTTGCTTGCTTTGTTTTGAACACCAGCGCTGGATTGTCTGGTGCAAGATTTGACGTTCTTGGCCTGGTGTATCTCTGATGCAATTTATAAATAAAATTCTATGTGCAGAGAGAATAGAACAGGAATAGTACAGGACCACTACTCCATGGTTTTTCAAACCTTGGGGTAATCACTCATTTTGACCTTGCCTCCCTTACAGGGTTGTTGTGATTGTAAAGCATCATCACTCCACCAATGTTTGCTGCACTGAACTCCTTTGTGAAGGACGACAAAAAAATACATACATACATCTTGGTCATGCATGTTGGACTCCTCTCGTAAAGCTAATTTTATTAAAATGGGATTTGAATAATATGTATTTCTTGATTTACTTATATTTACAACCTACTTACTCAAAGAAGCTCGAGAGGGTATAGCTCAGAGGATAGCAAAAAGTAGGCTGGGATCTAATAATGGAGCCCAGGTTGATTTGCAGGAGATCATTTCCAGGATCCAGTATTGAAAGAGAACAATGAAACATTGCAAGGGGGAAAAACACATCCATGGCAGTCCTTGTGCTAATGTATAATATCTTAATATCAGTATTCCTCGTGGTGTAGTGGTTTGAGTGTTGGATGACTCCAGAGACCACGGTTTGATTCCCAGCTTTGCCATGAAGCTCACTGGGTGGCCTTGGGCAAGACACACTCTCTCAGCCTTAGGGGAAGGCAATGGCAAACCTCCTCAGAACAAATCTTGCCAAGAAAACCCCATGATAGGTTCACTTTAGGATCGCCATAAAGCGGAAATGATCTGAAGGCACAGAATAGCAACAACAAATGTCAAAAACATCCCAACAATGATACCTTTATTGGGCCAACCAAAATGCACAACTATATGTTGCAAGCTTTTGAAGTCACACCTGTTTCTTCGTCAGGCAAACAGGAGGAAAAAAATGAAGATGTTAGTCTTGGGTCTCCACATTGAATAACAGGATGATTGACTGGTTGCTTTAATTCTATGGAAAATCAAATCTTGCTTCATGTATAGACCAGTGTATGCTTCCTGGGATTACTCAGACTCCAGAGTCTTTCAGATCTATCTCTGGATGGGAGATCTTGGCATTCAAGAGATAAAACCAGAGATCTTGCAAATCTAAACTCTACTCATCTAGCAAAGGTACTCTACAGGGGCCCACCTGCATTTTATCCTAACAACTACCTTGCAGGACTAGGCAGTGGTCCCCAAACTTTGATCTTCCATATAATTTGGACCTCAGCTCCCAGAATTCCTGACTATTGACCAAGTTGCCTGGGGCTTCTGGGAGTCGAAATCCAAAATTCCTGGAGGACTAAAGTTTGGGAATCATTGACCCAGCCCTAGGTCACCCAGTGAGATCCACAGGATAAGCCAGGAGTTTGATCTGGATTATGTTGTTGCAGCATGTCTTCAAGTCTAATTTATGGTGATCCTCTCCTGTTGTGTTTTTTTCTGGAGAGACCAATTCAGGGGAGGTTTGCCACTGCCTTCCTTTGAGGCTGAGTAACATGGTTAAAGTCACTCCGTGGGGTTTCCCACGACAGTGGAGATTCGAACCCTGGTCTCTTGGAGTCCTAGCCCAACACTCAAACCACTACACCACAACGGCTCCTTACAGACGGGATGAAAAAGTTTTGCTTATGCAAACTGTATTATTCTAGCATTCCCAGTATTTCATTAAGCAACTTTTTAAAAAAGCACACACAAAAAAGTTGGCAGGATTTTGGAAAGGGAAGGTATGGGTCTCAGTCCAACACACAATCATTATCTGGATTTGGCTGTAAATCGGATGCTGTAACCACTATACACACTCTCTTTAATTTCAATCCTCACAGTTCATTTGCTGCTATTGTTCTGTGCCTTCAAGTCATTTTTGACTAATGACAACCCAAAGGTAATTCTATCATGGGATTTTCTTGGCAAGGTCTGTTGGGGCTGTGTGTCAATGTCTTCCTCTTAGGCTGAGAGAGTGTGACTTGTCCAAGGTTACCCACTTGGTTTCCATGGCCAAGCAGGGACATCAGTCCTAATCCAACACCCAAACAACTTTCTCTCCTCTTTCTGTCTGTGTGCCTTCAAGTCACCTGTAAACTTACGGCAACCCCACAATTTTCTTAGGCAAGGAATATGCAGAGGTGTTTTTTGCCAGTTCCTTCTTCTGAAATAGAGCCTAAAGCACCTTTTCCACTAGTGAAAGCAGCTCCCCAATAACAATAAGAACAGCGCATTCTATCCTGATTTATGTTGCCTTTGAAGAAGATCAGAGGCACCTGCAGGAAGGAGCCTTTGGTGGATATCCCTCCTTCCAAGCTAACACCTTTAGCATTTGTCGGAGAAGGGAGGAGATACAGATCTAAGTCCCGAATGGCTCCAAGCAGATCTTTTCAGAAAGAATGTTTGCACTTTGGAAATCCCACCTGGATGAGAGAGACAGCCGGAGAGTTCCAGTTCTGGCTGCTCCCTCTTCATCTGGAAATGTCACTTTTTTGGCTGAGCCAAAGCAAGAATGAGCAGAACAAGAGATTCTACCGGGTTCGTTCAGAGGACTGTTTACTACAAACACAGGATTCAAACCCAGCCCTTGTGTACAGAACAAACCCAATGCAAATGCCCATCTCGGGGCTGAAAACGTTGCTTTTGTAAATGCAGGGAAATAACTTTCACTGCAGCAATCTCAAAAGTTTAGAACTCGATCCTGTTTCAAGAAGGGACCTGAAGTTTGAAGGGATCCTTAAAAGACATGGCTGTCTTCCCCCACCCTTCCTTCTAATTCCTCCTGCTGTTGAGCAACAGGAAGAACCAACCTCCCTGTAATTTTTTGGTGTGGTTATATTTAATAATCACCATTGGAACAATGAGGGTTTTCTGCAATTACGATCGATGCCCACGCTGGCCTCCCCTCTTGCACTCCACATAGGCCTTCCGGGGATATTGGCTTCAAGGATGGTTGGACATCCTTGAATGGAAAGGCTACCCAGCCTGGGGCATGCGCAGGGCACCACTGACACTATACACAGAAGACGCAGCATGAGATCGTGGGCAGGAAGGCATGGATAAACTAGTAGGGACCCAATCTGGGAGAGTAAAAACTTTGTGGCTTCATTCTGGGAAAAATCACTGGCACCAAACATATCACTTGCTAGGAGATTTTGGGACTCGTAGTCCAAAAGGTCCAGGTATGCAGCAGCTTCCTGTGTTCCGAACCACTGTAAATTCCATTGTTGCTTTTTTTAAACTTCCCCTTTTTTGGACTACATCTCCCAGGATCCCCTTGCCGCAGCATCCTGGGAGTTGCAGTGCTCTGGGAATGGAGCAGTTGGCTGTGTTCGTAAGCCCTGGAGACGCCTAACTTTAAGGAGCGCTTCCTAATTTTGTGTGTGTTGTGTGCCTTCAAGTCATTTCTGACTTATGGCGGCCCTAAAACGAACCTATCACAGTGTCTTCTTGGCAAGTTTCTTCAGAGGGGTTTTGCCATGCCCATCCTCTGAGGCCGAGAGAATGTGACTTGCCCAAGGTCACCCAGTGGGTTTCCATGGTTGAGCTGGGATTTGAACTCTGGTCTCCAGAGTCATAGTCCAATGCTCAAACCATTACACCATGCTGAAAAGTTTTTCCGAACTTTATGAAAAAGTTGTTCCTAACTTAAGTTATCTTTTACTTTATGGAAAAGTTATCCCTCACTTTATGGAAAAGTTATCTCTAACTTTAGGGAAAAGTTATCCCTCACTTTATGGAAAGGTTATTCCTACCTTTATGGAAATGTATGCTCCTGTTTTGAGCTAGAACTGCTGACATTCAAACATCTGAATGTCCCTCCAGCAATCCTGCCCCAAGTCCAGGATCGTAAAGAGATAACCTGCACTTCTTTTCCCATGTGTGCATAAAGCCCCTTCTGCAAGTGACCTGCCCCTTTTTTGCCCTCTGGACCGAAGGTGCAGCAAAGTGGCCCAAACTGGATGGGTGCCTTTGTGCCGATGTGGGTCACCACCTGAGCAGGGAGGGCCCCACACCTGTGTTTGGAGTATAAACAGTCAACACAGCCCTGTTTGTTCTGTACACAGAAGCGCACCGGGATTTCTTGGGCGTGTGCACACTCAACGGCACGCACCCCAGCCGGCTATTCTGGCCCCGGGGCAAGGGATCCAGCCAAAAGGCTGTGAAAATTTGGGAGTCACAGCTGCTCTGGAATGTGCTGTCCTGGAGGCAAGAGAATCCCTTGCCAAAAAAGCAAGCAAGCAAGCAAGCAAGCAGAAGGGGGTGGAATTCTTTTAAGAGTCTAGAAAATAAGAACATAGGGCAGCTCAGTTGCTGCAGGGACGTGGGGATGATCCATCATGTGTTTTGAGTGAGGACTTCTTCCAGCAAACTGAGAAGTCTCAGTACATGTTGCTGCTGTTGTGTGGCTTCAAGTCGTTTCCGACTTATGGTGACCCTAAGGCAAACCGATCACGGGGTTTTCTTGGCAAGTTCCTTCCGAGGGGGTTTGCCATTGCCATCCTCTGAGACTGAGAGAGTGTGACCTGACCAGGGTTACCAGTGGGTTTCCATGCTTATGGGCACCTGGTTGGCTGCTAGGTGGCCACCCAATTGACCACTGTGGGAACAAAAGGGTGGACTGGGTAGTAGGCTTCTACCAGCCTTCTCCAGCATGGCTCTATTCCTTCTTAAGATGGGCATTTCCTTTCCAGGAGAGTTGGTCCAGATCTCTAACTCTGGGCACATCTATTTTAAAAACCAACAACTGTGCCCACTTCTTCAGACAGTGTCTCGAGAACTCAGTCCAAAAGAAATGTTTGCAAAATATGAAAAGATTATGCAACGGCTATCCTCCTTTGCTCTGCCAAACCTGATGCCAGGATGCCACCTGACCACTCATTTCCACTGCTGAATATAAAGCCCCATCTTATGCCCAGCCTGCAAGCTGCAGAAGGAAACAAGCCGAAAAGAAAAAACGGCAGACCACCCGCTTTCTTTTACGCCAAGCAGAGGGCTTTCTCTCTCTTTCTTTCTTTCCTCTTCTGCTCCACATGCTGAGATGAGAGGCACTTTTCTTGTGTGATCCTGTTAAGGCAAATCCTCCGACTCAGCAGGAATTTCGTGGGCCTGGATTAACTCACATCTGTATTCTTGCCTCCCTCCTTTTCTGGCATCAGAGTCTCCCTTCCCTCTGGCTTCTCAAGGAGTTACGGGCTGAATCAGCCACAAATGCAAGAAATCACTTCCAGTCGAAGGAGGAGGAATTCGCGGGCTTTTCCTCAATGGTGTAGTGGTTTGAGTGTTGGATCAGGACTCTGGCGATCAGGTTTGAATCCCAGTTTGACCATGTAAACCCATTGGGTCACCTTGGCAAGTCACCCACTCTCAGCCTCAAAGGATGGCAATGGCAACCCCCCTCTGAAGAAACTGGCCAAGAAAACCCCATGATAGGTTCACTTTAGGGTTGTCATAAGTCAGAAATAATTTGAAGGCACACAACAACAGACCATCTGAAGCAGGAACATTTGTACAAGGAGGGGGTTGTTGGGAAGGGAATAAAAAAGGAAGCTAGGAGTAGAGATCATTACAAT